CGAAAAATATCATGAAATAAATCAAAATAATTTCCCCGTCATAATTTCTATACCTTGAAAAATAAGTATTCATTTACGAGAAACTTGATATTGTTCCACTATATAGAAAACAAGATCCCGGCCTTGAACCGTGCGCGAGACGATCAGTTTGCTTTCATGTTTCATGTGCATGAATCATTAATTTACATGTATTTAAAAAAAGTCTCTTTGTAGTTTTTTTGATAACCGTCACCTAATTTAAACAATGCATGTCAAATCGAGGCAGCTTTTGTAACGTAACTATTTCTGGTTTTTCTAATACCCTCTACCGGTGAGATGCAATCTCGTCCTTGGGTAACAGTCATTCACAAGGGAGATAACGCATCATTAGCGTGGGTTTGATTTCTAATCGTTCTCATCACTTCCAACATCTTACGCTTAATTTTCGCTAATCTACATACCTTACAGACTATTGTTTTTCATTATAATTCACCAGACTTCGACAACATCAAAACAACATAATCTTGAATATTAAGTCCTGTTATAAATAAACTTTGTACCTGGGTAAAGGCCTTTCTTCACTTGGGCTTCAAAGAGAGGGCAGAAAATTGAGAAAGTAATTCAAGAAGCGAGGGGATCTCTAAGAACTTTCAAGATGATTTTCATGATGGAATGGAAAAACATGACTATATTTGTTTTGACCATTTTCACATTAATGATAGGGAATCTTCTTGGATTAGAGAATAACATTGACGATGTATCGGGAAAGAAAGAAACCAAACAGATGAAAAGATCTCTGAATGTAAGTATTCTTTTACAACTTAGGAGACAATGGGATTTCACATCAACAACTCAATGAAGTCCAGGGCATTCAGTCTAGATTTCAGCGCAATTTAAAAAAAAACAACCTTAAAATGTCGGAGAAAATTTTTAAAATCTGAAAATTTCTGGGTAAAATTAAAACAAAATCTTAAAATATATTTTGCTTGAGGATATGTAGATACATATGATCTACATTTATTATTATGAATTAAAAATACTTTTCATTGTTTATATTTTTTATTGCAACTTTTACTTAGATTAAACTTAAATATTTTCTAGAACTTAATATTTCTCAAACTGTTTCAATTGATTCTTCACAAGAAAAACCTAGTGAATTTAACTAGTGTGTTTCGCGTTGGTCGTGATTAGTAAACTTTCAGTTTACTGGTTAAGATAGTGAGTTGTGGAGCGGGGGTCGTATAGATACTTAGATACCTAGTGAAAGTTACTCATCAACTCTAAATTTACTAATCTTATCTAGTAAATATACCAATATCTGGTAAAACTACTATTAAGGTAGTGATTGTATGGACAGTGAATCTACTAGTTTTCTTCGTGACATTAAATAGTTATTTTTTTTTTACAGTGTTTGTTTTATTTTAGATGTCGTTTATAAAGTTCCACTATAAAGATATTAATATTAAAAAACTTTCTTGCCTAGAAAAAATATTTACTCTTTAAATTTACATTTAGTCTAAGATATTGAATATAAAATCAAATCGTTTATAATTTTCAATTATTGAGTTTCAAATTGATTAATATTTTTAAGCATTGTTTAGAAATTCAACTCAGTGGGAAAAGCATCAGATTGCAAGAATTCACAAAAACTCAACTTAATAATAGAAACATTTAGAGTATTTTCAAAGTACTGTATGCTTTGAGTGACCATAAATTTTATTTCAGAAAATAAGATTTAAATAGATGAAAAAATGTATCATTTAAAAAATTAGTAATGAAAAACATTAGCGTAACAAAAATGGTTAACCAAGAGATCTGTCAAGTACATGTACATGTATAGTTCATTAAGGAAAAATAATTCAAAAAAATATTTAGAAATCAGGAATATACGAGTATATCTAAAAGATTTATATTCACGTATATAAAACATATTATAATATTCAACCACCATGCAAAGAATTGCCAAGTTTCTTTATGTTTTAGGAATCTATTTTTATATCATTTCTTCTTAAACTTTAAACGGTGCACACATTGCTGTAAAAAATCTTCCATAATTCCGACTGGACCTTATTTCTATCCAACCTCTTTAAAGTCACTGGAAAATAAAATAGACATGCCCAATCACAATTCATCAGGTATGTATTATCAGGGGAACAGCATCCCTAACTGTTTTCCAAACAAAAGACAATTTTTTTACTATAATGTAGTATAAAATATATGGATAGGCATTATTTTCTTGTGAAAAAATTGAAAACTTAACCCCCCTCCTTTCGCTTGTCAAAGATTTTTCAGGCAAAGTCAATAATTAGAGTGTTTCCCAGGGTCTCCTCTCCCCATCCTCTTTCAAAATTAATATGCAACATACCCGAACCATAGAAAAGCCTTTATGTATTCATCCTTTTTTAAAAAAAATGTTTTCTTTTTCATATACAGGACTTGGCGGGATTTGATATGAATGCTTTTGCCCGGTACTTTCCTCGGGCGTATATTCCAAGCACACCGGCTCCCGAGGACGTTAATTGTTACATGGAGGTGGAAACAGTATGTATTCTTACATCAAACTTCCTCATAAAAACTTTTTTTTCTTAGTATCAGCATCTTCAAATAATGTATGATAAGTTGTCAAACCCATGTTAAAATTTGTTCATTTGCTTGAAAACTAGAAAAAAAGTTGCAGGTGGAGAAAGAAAAAGGTCAAGAGGCCTTTACTATTTTAAAGAAATTCAAGACTACAAGCTTTATTGCAAAACTTAGAGAAAAACTAAAAAAAAATTCAGGAATATACATAAGCAATTTATACTTTTGACCTTGACCTTTGAGTGTTTAATGCTAGGGGGAGTTTGAAATATCGCACGAAAACGAAAGTGTTACGCATAGGCAGACTTTTTGACTTTAACCCTCAAATCATTAACCTTTGCACCTCAAAATCAACAGTAGCTATTTGGAGTGGTGCTTAAACATTTCATTGAAAAAAAGTTCTATGGCTTCGTGAAATCACCCAGAGACGAAAGTTTTTCACGCACAGACAATGAGACTTTAGAGATAATGAATTTATGACCTTGACCTTTGACCTCAACAATTAGGCAATACCATTGCAAAAGCTCAAAGGCTTCTCGAGACATCACCCCGAAAACAAAACTTCCACACAGACAGTTATACAGACTGACGAACTGATGGACCCAAATTAATTAATATCCCCATCTTTTAGTGACAGCAGAGGACACAAAAGTCTTGCTTTGTATTTTGTTTTACTAACAAAGAAGGACTAACATATGATGTGATTTTATTTTCAGACAAAAGTTGTCGGTGGAAGATGTGTTAATATGGGACGATCCCCTATCAGAGCCTGCCAATCAGGGATTCACTCAGAAATTTACCACCCAGATTGTATGGGAACCACTACACAGGAGTCTAGGAGCTCGAGCCCGACACAAAGCACATAAGGGCTCACACGAAAAAAATGAATGATATTTTTAAAACAATTTTCCTTTACCATTGAATTCAAGCACAGTGTATAGTATTTCTTTGTACTTCGTTGTATCTCTTTTCTTAGCGCATTGTATATCAATTTGTATGTAAAAAAAACAAAAAAACCATTTACTAAGATACAAATTCCAATATCACCTGAAAACATATTTTACGTACCATAAGACATTCTGCTGGTATCGAATTATGTTGCATTATAAATGGTACTTGCACTTACAATTTAAGTCAGCAGGAAATTCTAAAGATGTTATTTAGAGTACATGTAATAAAAAGAAAAACACCAAAAAGATAAGAGAGAAGATTTTTTATTTCGTGAGTTTGAACTTGAAATCAGCAAGTTCCTGTTAGACCCAGAGCCACCGGTTTGTGACTGGTTAATGTCTTTCCATATGCACAGAACGTGTACCTGAAAGGATTTTTATGATGCTCTCCATTAAAAACACATCAAATATTAATGGCTTCACCATAGATTCAATGATGAAATGAATGCGCATGAAATACTATATTTACAAGTCTTTGAAAATAGAGACTGTGCATTCATGCTACTTACACTTTCTGTTCTTCTGCACTTAAAATTGACATGCCCATCAACTGCCAGTCGTTAGGATATGCCCAGCCCGTGAGTAAATTGGAGGTTTTGTCGTACTCAAGGGCAATGTTTGTCAAGGAGCCGATATCCTTGGGAACTTTTATAAACTTTGAGATGATATGTCCCTTTGTGTGTACCTCATTGTCCCTGAATTTTTGATTTTGGAACGGTAACATTTAAGATCATACAGTAACAATATAAAATTTGTTTTCAGTGTAACATTCTTAGTCCATTTAGTACATTGTACTTCATTGGAAGATTCTATATGCTTACGTCATCAGCGGGATGTTTGCACTTCTGCCTTTGGTTCCTTGCAATACAATGGTTATTACACCATCCATGTTGTTTCGTCCAGTAATGTTAATTTGATAATGGAACTCTAAAAACAATACTTTTTGCAATACATTTGTACTACCTTATTCATTATAAATTTTCATGCTAATTTTCTTCCCTTCTCAAAAGTTACTAGTAATCTACCTACCGCAGAATGGGCTTGCAGCTGTGGTATCCAGATAAAAAGATCCCCTAGCGGAGAAGTTCTTTGAGTTATATCCCATCTCAGAACATCCGGTTCCGGTACAAGTTAAGCAGTGGCCAGCTGCGTACTCAGAGCCGCTGGTACACGGGTATGCGGTGTAGGGACACTGACTGGTGACCGAGTCTGTATACAGGACGTATGATCTCTCGTGGCTACAGGCAACAGCTCCTTCTGCCGCTAAAACAGTTTTTAACGGTTTTTCATTTTTTAACGAAATAATGGAATTTGACCAGTTTACCTCTTTTAAGACAAAAACAAATCAAAGAGATTTGCTTGGTGCCTAACTTATTTTGTTCCAGGCAAATAAAAGAATAGTTAGGAATGATTATAGATTTAAAAAAGAAGATAATGTTAAAGAGGCATTCTTTTTATTCCTTCTTATCCATTTTTCAGACTCTCTTACTGCTTTCGCCATCTTCTTCAAAGGGAAGATTTGTCATTCATGATCAATACAAATTAGATATTTTCTTGATACCTAAAGTATCTAACTGCGTGACTGCCGTCCATACAGTGTGTGATAGTTTTCCTATGAAATCTGAATCACACCCGGGCTGGTTAGAGCCTCCGTTTGGATAGAAATCTACGTGACCCATTTGTTGCATAACGCCGAATCCTAATTGCAAAATACTGGAGCCATCGGTATGAATGACGTCAACAAATGCCGCGTCACTCGGGTCAAGTCTCACTCGTACATCGGTACCTTGGAAGTATGGGTCGGCTGGGTCTAAACCTGTATATAAATAATGCTAAAAATGATGACAAATTAAAAATGCATTAAATGTATATGTTAACTTAATTCAAATGTCCCATTTTGTGCTGATGAGCAAACATGACGTTACCAAATATACAAGTACCAAGTATTCTATGATCAAAAGTGACAAAACAAAATCGCATTCGATCAGCATGTATTGTGTTGATAAAATTGACGGAGTTGCGATAAGATTGAAGTTTGAACGCCGTACAAACGAAAATCAAAATTGAAACAAGCATCATGGAATACACTTAAAACGATATTTTATAATTTTACCTTGAAAACAATAAATGTGACTATAATTCACTTATTAATTTTGGACTTTCATAGTGTACTAACACGGAAGGTTGTACAAACACGCGTTGTACAATTTTTCAGCACAACCGTCCGTGTTATAACACGATGAACGACCAAAGTTTACAGTTCAAATGCTTAATGGAAATGTTTTCCTTCATGTTGTAAAAGGTACCATTCCATAATCGTTATTTTAAAAACTTTTTTTTTCGCAATTTTAATAGCTAAAGGATGCACTGAATTGTCCCTTGAACAAGCTCATTTTCCGAATTTTAGGTCAAATGAAAGTGACAGAAATTGAGGTTTTCCTTTCTTTTTTGAAAATAATCGTGGTTCTTACATATACGATTTCTTAAAGATAAAAAATATTGATCCATTTGGACCATGAACAAACATAATAATCGAGTTATCCACCTTAACATATAATGAAAAAAAAATGCACAACTATAAAACATAAAAGTAAGCATTTATTAGTATTTGCTTTAAAATGCAGTACAATCAATGCAAAATATAATTTTATATGCATTACTCTGCCCTCTTTGGAGTATACGGATCTCTCTGCCTAGAGATCTCGTAGCTCCCCAAAACGTCCGCTTTGTGGATAGAATTTTTAACTCTTCCTGTGACAAGTCTTCGTTCTGGCCTCTAAACAGTGGATTGAGACAATTCAATAATGTGTAAGGTATCTTTTAGGGTCAGAATTTGTTCAAATTCTCACCGGATTTTAAGTAAAAAATCACTCAATCTGGTGATTGCAAAAAAAAAAATTCAATTTATTTATTACAATTTCAGCTACGCTGCTTTGCTCAAGCGCCCTCTTTGCTCAATGGCCCTTACGTCCCCTTCGAGAATTTTTTCACTCATATAGAGACGTCACCAAAAACTAGTGAAGGGCTTCAATTTGAAATTAGACTTTTCCACGGCACCCAAGGCCATTGAATATCGAGGGTCTTTATTGTTACAACACCAACCGTGTAAAGGGGCCTCAGATTTAAAGGACCCGCAACTGTCACTTCACAAGTGTCGAGCGCTTGGCGGACATCTTTCCAAGCCAAGGGGTTTCGGTCCGCTTCACATTCCTCTTTGTGGAGAGCAAAGCGGACCGAAACATGGCTTGCGAAGATGTTGACGAAAGAACACTTGCTAATGCTACCTATTTTTATCGACTTATATGGAGGTCAGTGCTTCGAACACACGACCTTCCAATCAGAGATTCGAACACACGACCTTCCAATCACATAATATTTTAGCTTTTACTAAATTTTCTTGTCCGCAAAATTATAAAAATAATCGCCTAATATTCTTATCTGAAAAAAAAAATAAATGCATATGTATTTACACTGTGAGTTGTAAACATTTGCATAATGTTTCATAACCAAATTAGGGCCCGTGAAATCAATTGGAAGAGCACAGAAATCTTCATTAAAATTCAAACGGATATCAATGTAATCACTATTTAAATTCAATGTTAAAACGCAAAACGTAAAATACGCGAATAAAACATTTTGCGTTGTTTCGTTTTGCGTTACATAACAATTTGCGTTATCAATTTAAAAGAGCGCGAACATAAAATTTTCAGCAGTTTTAATATTTTGTATTGTAAATCTTTTACACCTCTCTTTTGAGACCAAATAATTTTTAATCAAATTAAAAATATATTAGAAATTCTAATTTACATGTTTATAAAATGATGCCATTGGCCTTGAACTGACCATGTTCACAATCCAGTCACGTGTTTAACATTGTTTAATGTCTCGATAAATAATTGATATTTTTGATATGGATATAAGCTAAACATAGAATAAACATGTTTGTTTTCGTTACTTGAAGAGAAATAGATTTTAATTGGTATTCTAGACCCTGCCAATTAATTTCAATACAGACAGTACTCAACCGTAAATATAGGAATGCGGCTACGAAATGATTAACTTCAGATTAAGTAAATAGAGGGTATAGGCTTCTGAGAAGGGTGGTTTGTTTATTTCTAAGTGACCGTGGGTACACCTTATCCCGAGTCTCAAATATTGACATGAACTCGGAAAGACCTATGCTTGTTTAGCAGTTGCTCCATCTTTTACTTCGTGGGCGCATTGTATTATGCTAGGAGAATGGAATCTCCAGGGACGCTTGGTGTCACGAGCTGTCATTTCAAATAGCGGATTCTTACAAAGTTTGTTTATTTTACATGAACGTGAGATTTCTTCAGGAAAAAACCCCCGGTAATTTCACGTTTCTCAAATTTCTTGGCCATTACCCTGAAAATGACAATAACATGCATTGATCTAAAAATATACTTGGCAAAATTTTAATGTTTGCTAAAACTTTTTTAACTATAACGTCCCGAATATTATTATCCGTATATTTTAAAATACTAAATTGCTGTAATGTGGTACTTATGATTATAAACGCAATTGTTACTATGTCTTGCTAAAAAAAAAAGAGGCTCGTCAACTAAGTTCTTCTCTTGACAAATTTGCTTTTACAAATCAAAAGCACCGTGCCAGTTTGCACTATGTCTGTATCTTAATCTATAAAATAGAGTAAAACATAAAAGAACACTATCCTCTAAAGAAAATGAGACCTTGATACAGATTAATATAAGTTGGTGATTTTCAGCTGGATTAAACAGACGACACTGTCACGATTCTGATCTCATTTATTTCTCCCTCTGAGTTCATTTTCTTTCGTTTTAATCGAAGTTTTGTGTATTTCATCAAAGGGTTAAAAGAGACTTCAAACGCATTATACAACATGACGTGTAGACCCGATTCCACAGAAATCATGATTAATGCTCTTCATTTCCTGCTACCCCACTTCCTTTTTCAAAAATGTTCTTTATATACGGCAAATGTACCGAAAAGTACAGCGTTTTTGAAATATTTTTGAGCAATTTGCGTTTGTTTTATGTCTTTGGTTTCTGTCTCATGTTATTGAGAATTTCCTACAAAAAATTCAATTCTTTCCCGGGGTATGTTCTGAAAATCGGCCCTAGGACACGTTTCTTTTGTTTTAATGATGTCTCTAAATGCCTTTATTACGGAGGAATCTTTTGTTGCAGCAATTGTTATTGATGTTTGATGATTTACGTTGGTCGACAACAAATAACGACCAAGTGTGTAGAAGCCACTGCAAATTAAAGAGGGCGAGCAGATAAGCTTTTATTTCAATTAAAGGCACTTCAAACTAGGTACCTGTGAATTTAAAATTTCTAATTTTGTTACAAAATTTAGAAAGCTAGCTGACAATGTAATTGTCAAGGTTGTATGTACAAGATTCATGTAACTTGTTTGTGTGAACAAATTTCATGTATATAAAGGTTGACAGTGTGTCTCTTTGTCTGTGTGACACAAAATTGGAGCAACCTAAGGTTGTCTGTATGTTTCTTCATTTTATAGAGTTAAGTAGAAAGAATCCAGTGTTTGAATAAGATGGACTGTGGATTAAGGTAATTCAAAATGTTTAGGTTATATCTCGAGAATTTCATTATTTTGATGTTATATTTTAAGGATGACATTTACTGAGCAATGAAAAATTGAAATGACTTCTTGGTCTAAATGTCGTGAATATATATTTAATGTCTAGCTGAGGAGCACAATACGTATTTTCTTCTCATATTTTTATATACATATATTCATATTACATAAGTTCTGCTTCATAAGAATGGAAAACGGGTCTGCTAATTCAGGAGCACAATTACTGCCCATCCACATTCCAACTTTTTTTTGGAAAGAAAACATAAAGTTGTCATTACGAACTCTATACATGTAGCATCCCGTCAGAGAACTTGTGTGTAGAACCATGATAGGGATTTTTAAAGTAATTTTGTTGATGATTAAATTTGATATAGAATCAAGGTCATATCTCAAAATTAAGTAGAAGTCAAATTGCAAGTTGCAAATTACAAAATGCCCAAATGTAAAATTAAAATCTTAAATAGATGGGAGATAAATCTTTATCATTATGGTACATTAAAAAAATGAAACTATGGTTTTTGAATCTTTGGCTAGAAACAATTTCTGCTCGAATGGTATACACGAAACTTTCAGTATTACTCTATGTTAGAGAAAAATAGCTCGGAAGAAAATGTGGCATTGCGATATCAAGGAATGCCTGATTTTTTTAAATTTGTAATGGACATCTAATTTAATACATTATCATTCATATTTGTTTCAAAGTTTGAGTAAAACCAAACGCAATGATAATTCCCTCTCTTTTGGTCTGTCACTTGAAAAAAGATTCTATAAGTAGGCAGAGCAATTTTTTTTAATTAAAATGTAGAGTAGCAAACCGATGGTGTAATTCGTGCTTAGAATTATTTTCTGCCAGACAAATATTTTATACCATATATTTTTTCCAACCCACTACATGTACTTTACTGCTGGATTCGAAAACCTAAAAAGGAGGCGCATTAGATAAGCTTTTCTTTGACGATAATAAATAAGCAGAGGTAAGCAATATAGATGTGTACTTCAAATCCAAGATTATTCTAATTTAGGAACGGTATAACGCTGCAATTGTCATTATTACAATGTATTATACGTCTAATTTATACTAGTAATTTACCACTGACACTCTTGATTACCGTCTCTTGTCTCTATGTTTAGGTGGATACTAATAATTCTCTACAAATTATTAAGATTGACTTATCTTCGTCACTTTAGAAAGTGAGCTTTTCCCTGATTCGAAATTGGCATCGGTAAATTAAAACAGTTAAAAAGTTTATATTCAGGGTTTAAGAATGATTCCTGTTTTCCTCTATCAGGACTTTTTTCCCCAGCCTTCGCCTTGTGAAAAAGTCCTAGGGAACTGAAATCCTGCAAAAACAGTCAATGGTTTACTTTAACTGTATACATGTATTATTATCCTGAAGTAGTGCAACATTCAGCAGTTAATGTACTTTAACCCAACAAAAATTTAAGATTCGGAATGAAGTGGTCGACTTCTTAGAATGAACACAATGCAATTAAGAAACTGTTAACATCAGTTCTCTGTTTCTCGCCAATTCCCCGTCGTTTGTTATGTTTGAACATATGCTTGAATGTACTGTTACATTCATGTATAGGGAATCCATACTATTGCCCGGAACAGGAAATGTCTAGCCTGTCATCTTCACTGTATATAATAATGTAAATTAGGATAATTAATAATATTTCATGGACGAAACTGTTGCAAATGCCACGTCAAAGGCATCATTAAGCAATATACGTTTCCCAATTACTTTAACATCAATGAATTCAAGTCAATTACAATTTATATTTTTCGTAATCGTTTATGAGGGAAAACATAATTTTATTAATTTAGTCATCTTTTATTTTTTTATGTCACAACGGAATAGAAATGTGTCAGATCACCCTATTTCATGAATTTTTTCAATCTTAAGGACATACACAAGGTACCTTACCTACTGATATTTTTTTTCAAGATATTCTAAGTTTAAACTTACAATATCATTAGATGTTCTTAGACAAAAAATCAGCATGTGTTACCAGGTGTCTTGAAAAGATATCAAATCATGAAATTTTTTTGCATTATTTAAAGAACAAGAGGCCCATGGGCCTTATAGGTCAACAAAAACTTTAGTGATTGAATTTCCATGTTTTAAGCCAGATGCTATAGCATTTACAATTTTGATCATTTATACACTTAGCAGTTGCTTAGTTTGGTTACTTAAACACAGAGTAGGGGAACAAAAAAAGCATTTCAACAAATCAGTAATATTCAGCAATAATCAGTAGTGCCGCTACCACACATGAACCCTTGACGCTTAGGCCTAGATCCACACTTTGCACAATTTTTGAAAAGGCATCCTTGTTTTTCAAAAATATTTGATTAATACCAAGGAGCAGATTTCAAACAATTCATTCATTTTCAGAATGTACAACTACCCTGGGGCCTTGAAATTCACAATTCTTGAAGATTAGGGCCCTTGTTCATAACCATATAGGTAGTTCATCTGCTTAATACCCAGAAGCAGAGAAGAAAATATTCAAAGATTTAATGTTTTTTCACTATACATGTATAATCAAAAGAGCGCCGCCCTAACACAAGAACCCCTGACCCTGGGCCCATAAAATTCACAATTTTGGTAGAGGCACTCTTGCTCATCATAACTATGTACTTAGTTAGTTTATATAAAACCTATGAGCAGAGAAGAAGATTTTCAAAGAATTCATGTATTTTCAGTATATAATCAATAGAGCCCTGTCCTAACACCAGAACCCCTGACCCTGGGGCCATAAAATTCACAATTTTGGTAGAGGCACTCTTGCTCATTATAACTGTATACTTAGTTAGTTTATTTAATACCTAGAAGCAGAGAAGAAGATTGTCAAAGAATCTTTGTATATATATAAGCCCCGCCCTAACACCAGTTTCCCATAAAATTCACAATTTTTAACATCAATGAATTCAAGTTTATTCAATTACAATTTATATTTTTCAGTATATAATCGTTTATGACCCTGGGGCCATAAAAACAATAATTTTATTAATTTAGTTTATTTAATACCTAGAAGCAGAGAAGAAGATCTTTTATTTTTATTTATGTCACAACTGGGGCCATAAAATTCACAATTTTGGTAGAGGCATGTGCTCATCATAACTATGTACTTAGTTAGTTTATTTAATCATCAAAGAATTCATGTATTTTCACTATATAATCTAGAGCCCCGCCCTAACAAGGACATACACAAGGTACCATCATAACTATGTACTTAGTTAGTTTTTTTACCCAGGAGCAGAGAAGAAGATTTTTAAAGAAATAATGCATTTTCACTATATACTTATTTAGCCCCGCCCTAACACCAAATGACCCCAGGGCCATGAATTTCACAATTTTGGTAGAGGACTCTATGCTGATTACAATCATACCAATAGTTTGATGCTTGATGTCCAGGAGTAAAAAAAGATTTTTAAAGAGCACATGTGTTACCAGGTGTCAATTTTTGTTCCCCTTTACCTATAAATGCTATATGCCAAATTTGGTTGATATCAAATTATGAAAATTTTTTGCATTATTTAAAGAAAAATGTACAAATATTACAAAACATAAATTCCAGATATTTTTTTATCAAAATTTGTTTCAGAAGAGGTGTACAAATCCATATATAGACATTAAAAGTATTGCACACAGGTCCTTCTTTTAGTGGAACTCTTCAACTCCAGGGAAGAGCCCAATAAAGTTCAAACTACGTTGCGTATGACCTTAAGTGAGTTGATGAATTGTTTGATTGTGTTCGAAGACGTATGCTTGAAGGTGTAAGATAATTATGTACAGCTAAAAAATAATGGTGTTAAAGCCCCTTGATTTCCAACCGAAAAGACAAATTTTGAAGTACCTGTAATTTGTCCCAGTGTTTTTAAACGTTCCCCTGTGTATCCTGCGATATGGGCACCCAAACTATGTCCTATGATGTGAAAGTCAGCGAGCGACGGACCCACGGCCGACAACTCCTGAATCAGTTTAGCTGTGTAGGCACCAACCACTCGGGTGTTAGCTGTGGCTTGTGCGTATGGGATGCCTGCGCCATGGCCCCAGTCCACGATAATAACATTCAGATCTTCCTGAAAATAAATATTTTTGTACTTTATAATTGCTTGGAAATAAATTCAGATGAGCCAGATTTATCTATTTAAAATAAAAAGTAATGCAAAAACGATGTAATCATACTCAGTTAACAAAGAAAATCATGTGCAATTTCATGTGCCAAGGAATTCATTTGCTGTTGCTGTGAACATTACTCTGTAATTATTTTCTTAAAGGTTCGTCATGATGACTTAGTGCAGATTAATGCCGATGACTCAGCGTATTTCCATACATGTATACTGAAATACACGCACAGGTATTGCGTTAAGCACAAGCATTGTGTTTAATGAAACTCTACATGAGTAATCATTTTGCAGCTTTAATTATGACACCATCCACAATAATGTTTTTAAAAAAATGGCATCACTGCATATTTTGGTGTTTCAAGGTAGAGTTCTAAATAGTGCTCTTAAAGCAATATAAGTGCATTTGAAACTGTTCAGCTCAAAAGTTAAGTAAAGAACAACAATATCAACCTTCTTTAATAAAGCTGTTGCCAAATTGAGGAGCCATTGTCGATGGCCATGGTGAGTGAATCCGTGGATGAGGATTTTAGTTTTCCGGGATCCGGAATAATGAGTGCTTTCCAGACCACCTCCTACTTGTAGTTGTTCCTCGTTGGAAGTGGAGGGATTTTCTCTGAAAATTGTTAATATCCGCACATTTGCATATTTGCAAATTTTATCAAGTATATTGAATCATCAATGGTATTCGAGAGATATGTACATGAATTACTACAAATGATACAATACATAAAAAAATTTCAAACGTTGAAAGAAAATGAACATAAAGAAGGGGGACGAGATTAATTCTTTACGACTTTTTACCTTGTATGAAGGTAAAACTTAATCTGTTGTTCCGTTGGACTTTTAGGTAGTAAATCAACTGGTCGCTCTACACTTCTGAATGGGGGCGCGGTGCTAAAACACCCCAAATCTCCAAAGCATACCTGTTTGTCCAAACTGTTCAGACTGTCTAATATGAAACCTAAAGAAAAAAAAGATTGATGTATATTGAAATTGCTTTATTTATTCAATACATTGAAATTAAAGAGAGGGTCGATGAAAATGGTTTCCTTTTTTTCCACAGTGACCATTGATATGTTTTGTTTTACTGATTTTCTACAAGTACATGTAGTATGTTTTAGAGGTTGTAACATTGAGTTTTCTAAATGATACATCAGACTAGTTTTTCTGGATTAATTTAAATGTGGGTTTTCTAAATCATACATCAGGGTGGTTTTCTGGATGATATGTAACAGTGGGTTTTCTGAATGATACATCAGAGTAGGTTTTCTGAATGATACATCAGAGTAGGTTTTCTAAATTATACATCAGAGCGAGTTTTCTGGATGTTACTCAGTATGTAACAGTGGGTTTTCTAGAAGAAAAATATGAGTGGATTTTCTGGAGTGGGTTTTCTGAATGATACATCAGAGTGGGTTTTCTGAATGATACATCAGAGTGGGTTTTCTGGAGTGGGTTTTCTGAATGATACATCAGAGTGGGTTTTCTAATTAACATGACAGAATGGGTTTTCTGGGTGATATACACTGTATGAGTGGATTTTCTAAATAATACACCAAAGTGCGTTTTCTGAATGATACGTCAGAATTAGGATTTTTTTATGGATGATATATGAGTGGGTTTTCAGAATGATGCATCAAAGATTAGATTTTTAGATTACATAAAAGAATGGGTTTTCTGAATTTCTGAATGCTTTCTGGATTATCCTAAGAGTGGTTTTTCTCAGTGATACATTAGAATGGGTTTTCTGAATGACACGTCAATGTAAATTTTCTGGATGATACAGCGCAGTGTGTTTTTTTTTTTGAATGATACATCATAGTGGATTTACTGAATGATATAGACATAGGCGTCGGAAGCAAATTAAAAGTGGTCTGGCTAATTGAAAGTGAGTGTGGGGCTAAACTAACGAAAAAAAGTGAGCCCCATTCTTCAATGCTTATATTATGTCTATTTTTTTTTTAAAGTGGGGGAGGCTAAGCCCCCCCCCCACCCCCCCACCCCCGATTCCGATACCTATGACAGAGTTGATTTTCTGAGTCATACGTATATTTTTCAGTAATGTCAGAGCATTTGCTTCATCAACAACAACCTTGTTTCTTACTTAAAGTTTTTTTTAATTGTTCGTATCAATAATTTATTGAATATAAACATTGCATAGTGTTATTTCTCATGTAATTTTCTCAAAGCAATCAATAACACAGTGATCTGAAATATTAACTCATTCATTAATACTCCTCCATGATAGCCTGTTATTAGGCAAATCACGATTTTAACAGCTATTGGACGATTAAGTCTTCTCTGCTTGATGATGAACGGAAAATAATATTTACATAAGATACAACTGAACAGATGTTAAAAGCCTTTTTGTCAGGATTTTTATCAGAATAACGTAATATCTACGACGTTTTTGTATTATTATTAAAACCGCATCAAATTCACAACACAGCGCATTGATAATTGAAAATTCCTAAGACTTGCTAATGCATTGTGTTCAGTAGAAAATCGAAGCAGGATAATTGTTTTTAATTAAGCCAATCCATAGAATACATTATGATCTAATAGACCAGATTTTCCCTTTTTGTCAATGAAATTTTTTTTATCATTTTGAATTTGAAACAGAAGAAAATTTTATGTAAAATGTCAAAATAATGTATGCAAAAACAGCTGTGTACAAAATGCATACGTACATGTACCAACTGTGCATTTTGGGGGGATGGGTGGGTGGGGGTGGTGAGTGAAAGGATGGGGTTAGGGATGTCATAAGTTCAAATGATGGACGTGGTTGCCGAGGAAAAGGCATGCAATATTTTTTTTTTCTATGGAGACATAGTTTTATTTTGTTAAAGGGTTTTTGCTGTTACTGTTAATTTTCTGCTTCAATAAAAAAACGACAGTGGTACATGTACCATATTTTACATTACTTTCTAATTTGGTTTTATTAACCATTGATTAAAATTACAAAACCAAGATATAAATCGATGCATTTTATCACCAGCGTGCCAATAAATTTCACTCATAAAGATGATCGAAAAAATCATTTTGGCTAACTGAGCTGTTTCCAAAGAGGATAACAAACATATGTATGAAACAATGGTCAGCGCATTAACAGTGCATATACAATCTATCAAATGTTAGAGACAGAAACGTGATAGGTTTTTATTGATCCTTTTATTTAATCACGTATACACGTAGGTATAGGCGAAGGTCGCACAGTATTCAATTTCATACATTTGTTACATATATATCATAGGCGCTCCCCATGTAATTCTGTAAATGACGTATGATAAGTATATATAGGTCTACCCCTCTATACTATAAAATATTGCAAATTGTATTTGTAGCATTGAAATAAAATACAAACTTTTATCCAGCACCAGTTGCTTTCTCTTGCATTACATCACATTTTTCGAGGGTCGGAAATATTTAGTGGGGAAAGTACATAGGCGCTTGGTTTCAGGATGGTGTATGTTGTGTATTATGTGTTTTTTGGTTCGTCTGAATACCCTCATTAAATAAAAATGAAAACTCGCTGAAATTAGCACGTTTTAAAAATGTCATATTCCTCGGAGTTTTTTTTTTCTCTCTGGGGTACATTTTTTTGTTTCTGTACACAAGCCCCTGTGATACTCTTTGAGAAAATAAAAAAATATTAAAAGATACTGATTTTTCTAACTGATTTATTTTCTCTACACAAGTCCGTATGAGCTAGACAGGCACGTAGCAACAAGGGGGGGGGGGTTGCCCGCCCCAACATTTTTACCCACCGTACCTTTACTGTTGAAAATGTGCATTGAAAGGTAGGTTGCCCCCCCACACACACACACACTTATTACCATAGTATTGCGATATGAAGGAAAATGTACTATTTTATGGGAAAAAAATGAAAGTGAAAGGAAGTTGGCTTTGAAAAAAATTGGCCACTACCCCCCCCCCCCCCCCCCCCCCCCCCCCCCCCGAAATAGGATTTTCGTGTTTGAGCGTTTTTTTTTTCGGCTCGTCAACTTTTACAGGTAAGTGAAAAAAAAATGTAGCAGCCCCCCCCCCCCTCACTTTCAAAAACGATGCTACATGTACGTGCCTATGAGAGTATATATACTGTACAACATTTTTAAAACGTGCTAATTTCAGCGAGTTTTCAGGGTATTCAGACAAACCAAAAAACACATAATACACAACATACACCATCCTGAAACCAAGCGCCTATGTACTTTCCCCACTAAATATTGTCAAACTTCCGAAAGTTATTTTCGTACGAGTTGTTGAAAATGAAAATTCCGGCCGAGATCAGCTAAGTGTGACGGTGTAATAGAGAAATGTTTGAAAACAAGAGAAAGCAACGGAATGGTGCTGGATAAAAGTTTGCAAATATTTTATTTCAATAAATTACAGTACCCGATGCTGATAACCAAGTATACCCCAGAAACCCTTAAAGTCAGTCAGAGGTCCCAGGCGAAATCCACAATGGCGCCCAGTTGCAGGCCTTGGATATTTTATAGTTATAGAGGGGTAGACCTATATATACTTATCATACGTCATTTACAGAATTACATGGGGAGCGCCTATGATATATATCAGGTGCTTGCAAAGTATGTGTAATTGAATACAAATTGCAGGCGCATTAATGAATTTTTGAGGGTAATTTTTTATAATGCTTTATTTTTGTGACTTATGACCACGCAAAAAATGTATTCAATTAGTTTGACTATCATCGCCACAAACTACATATTAAATTTTGTTTGTCGTCATTTGATGATAAGTAATGAGTTATTTACGTGAAAATAATTAAAATAAAACTTTTTATTACATTTCTTTCTACGTCTTTTTAAGGTAGTAATTTGAATTTCCAAATTTTAAAGATTAATTTGCTTCCTAATTCCATTGCATTCAGCTTCCTTAAATTAGGTAAAATATTTGTATTATAGACTCGTAAAATTTTATTTATTTTGGGGAGGTCGACAAAGCAATCCGTGCATTCTTGGATTATTTTTTGATGATATAATGTAGGGACTTGATAACATGCACTCTGATATTGTTTTTTTTTTCATTCAAAATCACGTTAGAAATTAGTAACAACCACTTACATTCCTAGCAAATCCGATTTCAGCACACGTGCAAAATTTCAAAGTTTTTAAAGAAAAGAAGTTAAATTGAAATTTCTGTTTCAACCAATCAAAGCGAAGAACACGAACATGGAGATATGTTTTTGCTATTTTTACCAGCCATTTTGACTAGTCTATTTCCATATCTTTATACTCTAAATCCAATGTATTTCATCAAAAAATTAAAAGTTACGGCTATATCAAGTATATCAGTCATTTCACTCGTTGCACAAGCAAACACGTGCACGTTTGTACTCGCAAAATGATCTACATAGCATCCATATTAACCTTTAAAAGGGTTTACATGTATAACACCCTGTTCAGTACTAGTAGTTTTCGTGAATACTCGCGGGCAAAAAGGTATCGAAGTAGAAATGAATAAAACAAAGTAAAATCAGCGTTCCTAAACACCGTTTGGAGAACATTTAAAAAAAAAATCAGATGGACGCACTGAACCGCAATTCGCTAATTGGTAAATGCGGTACAGAAAATATTTTCATTCTTTACTAAAAATCGATGCACCCGTAGAGATTTACATTTATCTACCAAAAATATAAATGTAAATGTTGCCCAACATTTACCAGATAATCAAACAATAAAAAAGATGTACACGACTTTTTGCTAAATATTAATGACCACTAACTCTCGATCAAAATATTTGCAAAAGATCATCGAGTTCAATTCATGCATAATTGACAACCACTTTCATCAACTTCGAATAAAAAATGCAGATATCTTCTGAGAGGAAATGAAATAACCATTGTCATCTTTGTCCACGAAAACAGAGGAGAAATTAATTAGTATAAAACAAAAGGGTGAGATGTTGTATGCACCACTAAAGAAAAAAAGATTAATTAAA